AGTAATCTCGGGATTTATCGATCTTAAAAAAATTGTTCTCTAATGAAAAATTACGTAAGCTCTGAGTGACATCCATATTTGTATAAAAGTAAGTTATGTTGAATGTAACTATTTGTAGTCATACATCAAGTTGGTTGAAAAGTATAAAAGTATTTTTTTCATAATTGGCTTTCCGCCGTTAAATGAGTCAGCATGTTCTTTATCATTATATAATAAAAATTTAATATGCGATGATAAGATGCAATATTATACGGCCCCGTCACTAGGAAAAGTTGTTTTCTCAATAACACGTATTTAACATCAGTAAGCGATGTTAAGGTATTTACTTTAAACTTTTTCATAATCCTATTGTTTATGTCTCTCCGTATGAAGTAAAAAGTATCCATAATGTTTGAGTTTATACAAACATGAGAATTGAAACGATAATATTAACTGAACAATATATTAAGGCCCGTGGTAGTTGTCTTTTATATTTTTTATTTCCTAAATTGAGACGTATAAAATTTCGCATTTCGTTCGAAAGTGGGGCGACCTTAGTTATCAATTTTGCACGTCTTCTGTAAGCAGAGCGCTATTAGAGGTTCAAGAACAGAAACAAAATACAATAAAATAAATATTTCCTTCCTAATTGTCGCGACTGAAAACCACTGTCGAGCAATTTTATCCTGTTTTGGGATTTGGTAAGATCTAAGTTTACAATAACATTAGCTTTTACTGTTAGGAGAAAAAGCTCCCTGCTCTTGTTTGGGGTTTAGAACAATTTAGCGTATTCAAGTTTAGAAGACAACATTAAACATTATAACGCCATCAACAAAAATTAAAGCGGTGGATTGTCAAATTGATTGTAAACGCAAAATTATCAAATACACTACCGAATAATAGTGTAACTTTGTGGTGGATTAGATACATAACGAATTAATAAATTCAAAGTTAACTTTGTAAAATTAAATTAAAATAATGTTCAATCTATCACATTTGGAAGCTTAAAATTTAGGGTCTTTACATGTTCATTAACAATTTCGTAATTGCGCATGATGTTCGAACATACTACATATTTTCTAGTGGTTGAAGGTGATAAGATAAATAAGACACTATTAATAAGTCTTCAAACCATGAGTATTAAGACTAGCATATAAAAGATATTAATTAGAGAACCTATTTATTTTTTAATATTGAAAATCGGTGAAAAAAATCTTAAAATGGAAATTTTCTTAACGTAAACTTCATTTTGATATTTTTATCAGAAGAATCATATAATTTTGTGATGATCCACTATAAGCAGAGAAACATTTTCTGCAACTATGAAGTATAAAAAATTTAGTATGACAAACTTATTACCGTATCATCCTGAAATTATCTCTGTATCTGAGATCAAATAAATAACATCACTAACAGCGTGTCACGTTCGATTTTGGTTCGTCTCGATTTGTTTCTCCATATCTCATTAATGTTCTCAGTACCGTTCTAAGACTTAATTTTTATGCGCTTAGCTCGACCGCCTCGATATCGTTTGGATTCGCCTAAAAAGCGCTCCTTTGTCGTGTCTGACAAAAAGACTTGTTTTCTGGCAGGCACGTTGCGCGTTATTGTGTTATACAATGAAATAATTAGTTGGTTCGGTAACGGGAGATTTTTTTTTCAACATTAGCCTTATTCTTTGCGGGCTGGTAATTTAATATTTTTTGTAATGAGCACTCGATTCCGAATGGGTGGGTGGAAAAAATGTCGGTTTTGTTCGCGTTTCAAGGAGAGGCTGCGCAGGAGTCGCTCTGATATGCCTCTGTGTTGGGGTATTACTTACAATCAATCTTTTTTTGCAGTATAAACGCGTTCTTCTGTGTATTTTATTCCTTAAATAACGCTAACATAGGACATGTGGTGTTAGTGTTAAAGTTTTCTAACCAGGTTATGCGCTGCAGTGTACTTTCTCTTTAATTTTTCTTTCGAATATTCGTTTGAGAACTGTATCATCAATACATATTAATTTTAATATCATGTAAATCTTCATTGTCTTATGTGTGTATGTCATTTTATTAATATTCAGACTGACTGCAAGATTTTCTCTTTACCACAGTTTTTTAAGTAACGACGTGTTGAAGGGTATCTTGTTACAGGTAAAGTTTAGTCAAAGTACTGAATAATATTATCGTTAATATACCTGTGATATAGATAGCTTAAGATGAGCATAGTTTTAAAAGCTTACTCTTTTAAATTGAGTTTAGGTAAGATACTCCAAATCTTATTTAAAATTATAAAAAAATATTATTTACAGTTTACCATTTTTAACTAACGAACTTATATTCAATAGATGATACGCCCAATTAATTTCTTAAGGTACACGTGGTTTAAAGATGTGGTTTGCTAACTTAATTTTTACAATGTGATGGAGTTTAATGGTGACATGGCTGTAATGTTCAAATAAAAATACATAATAAATTTATTTCAAATAGGGATACATTAGCGTGCCGTCACGATCGTCGTTCCCGGTAAAAAGTGTTCCCGCCTATATGAGTATTCGACTAGGAATCTGTCGTTGCTTGTTGCGGAAGATTTACAGCACGATGGCAACACCACCCACGAAGCGGGAAACGCGTGCTCGAAGCGTTCCGTCTCACTTATTGTCGATGGACAATACGCTGCTCGCGAAGACGCGAAAGAACACAATGTAGCTTTGTCTTATCTCAGGTACACCTTAGTCCTCTAATTACGGAATTCTTCCCGCCTAAAAACTACAATATGCACCTGCCCTTCAAAATGCATTATTGTACACGAAATGTACAAGAGAAAGATGAGGTTTTTTACAGTCTTCAAACGTAAGGAAAATAAAAAATAAAAAAATAATATGTATATATTTAAACAAAAACTTAGGATAAGGGAACCAAGGAAAACAAAACAATAAAAGAACAGAAATCAATAATATAAATATTGCATTTATTTCAACGAATTCGGCAAATATAATAACTGCAGATAATAATTATAATAATACTATTCAGTTACAAGACTTGCAATCTTTTATCTAGCTAAGTGACGCTACTGTCACCATAGAGGAAACCAAAGACTTTTACATTGGCTGGCACTGGGCTTTAGTTCCAAAGAAAACCTATCCATTATAATGATATCCAACAGTAAATGCAGATCGCATATAATTAAATTAAAATTAAATTATACAAATGAAAATAAAATTATTGGAAGTCGTATTGGAGGCAATTTTAAAATCAAGGACAGCTGCCTCGACGTACTCACTACAAGGTACACGTTGCTTGAACGACATAAAAAAAAAACAAAATAAAAATAATAAAAACCAAAGAACAAAAATAAATACAAACATAACAAAAATGCAAAAGCAAAATGAAAATAAAAACAAGGAAACGATATGCAAATAAATGGTTTCGGCCCGCCGTATGTGTTTAACGATCGAGTAAATAAAATTGCATTACATTCAAGGCATAATAAACTGTGAGATTTGCATTTGAAAGATCGATACGGGCGTATCTCAAGGCGCGGGCCAAGACGGGAGCCGAGAGTTTTCACATAATAAATAGACCCTTACTCGTAGAATGGCGACCCGCGGCGTGTGTCTCACAGAAGTCGGCGCGCGACATTGCTTCCGAGCATTTAAATTTGAAGTAAATATTTGCATATCGCCTAACTCCCCAAATCCGAACCGCTCTTATGTAAATGCATTAGGTGAATACGAAAAGAAAAAACAGCAGCCGGCGACCCCACACGGATCCAACGTCTTCATTACAATCGGAAATACTACAAACCTTCACAAATGTTATGTTTGTACGTATTTTTGCGCTCTTGGAAAAATATATGCGAAGTTCACTAATTAGATACAGTTATATCACAAGTTCTTAAGATGCCTCTACGAAACAAACAATATATTTATTTATATCTACCTAGTATATATAGACACTAAATATCGTAACCCACGTACGAATACCGATCTGAGACAATTTTACAGCGTTTAAACTTTAAAACCTAGTAGTATAACCTCTTAAACAAACAACTAAGTATTTACAGTGGAGCTCGGAGAAATAATTTACAAAACACTTGGATCTTACAAGGCACCTTATTTAAATAATAATAAAGACTTCAGGCTTCGCTATGACTTTACATAATAACTAAAATGTTTTAAATTCTCTAAAATATATAATTTGGTTTTCATTACAATCCTACAACAATCGACAAGTCGCTAATACCTAATAGGAGTTTTAAATATGAACAACTAGGAAGAATAAAATTATGCAACAGATTACTAACGCTTAAAAGCTTTATGTATAAGTATGCAATGTTGGCTTCAGCAATCAATAAGTAAACAAGGCTTAGATAATGCAAATAAAAGAAACAATCAGCGTTGACGTAGTTTCCGAGAAAGTTTTGATTGGCGTCATTTGAATAATTGATTATTCATGTGGAGCGAAATGCATGTGCGGCAGATCGGTCCCATTAGATATACGACGTCCTTCACGCGTCCTAACTCCTACCATTGTTATATTTCGTTTGCATTTGAATAGCGGCGGCTTGGAGAGGCCGCCCACCATCCCACCGGCACGCCTCTTGCGGCCGGATCATAGCCGCTTCGTTTTCTGACCTCATCAAATTACTTAGCGACATTTGTGTATAAAGAAGTGCCGACAAATTAGTCCTATTAAACATTAAAACCATTATACAGAATCAAGGTATATGCATTCCAAAAATTCACTGTACAGACTGAAGTACCAACATTACACATTAACACAAAGCTCTTTCACTTTACTGCTAAACCCTATTTACAAAAGGACTCACTAGTAGGAAAAAGACCAACGACCGTCACGGCACGAAAGGAGCTTCGCTCATATAACAGTGCATAATTTCGCGTAATACACAAATACTCTCTATTCTAAACAACATAAGAAACTATTTTCATTGAGCGAAGCTCGCCGTTGTAAGTTCTACGAAAGCAGGTCACGAATCGCGCAGCGCCTGTTAGCGCGGAGCGATGCGGACTGCGGTCAAGTGGTGCACTCACCGTTGCCGGCGAGTTGGGGTCTCAGAAAAGCGTTGTGCAGTTCGCTGCCGATGCCGCTCTCGAGCCGTGCCGCCATCTGCATGAGGGCCAGCGTGCCGTCGTCCGCACCGCCAACGCCGCTCTCTAACCGCGCGCGCACAGCTGCGATGTGCCCGCGCGTGAACACGTGATCTTGCACTGAATACTTGTGGCTGTACTTAAAATCGCAAACGCGACATTCCTCCGGCGGAGGTGCGTCCGACACTTCCGACAAGCCTGCCGCTAGTCGTGCTTTCTTTTCTTTGGCACGTGCATTCTGGAACCATACTTGCACCACGCGCTTGGGTAAGCCAATTTCTCGGCCCAAGGCTTCACACTCCGCCATTGTTGGTGTTTTGTAGTCGTTGAACAAAGACTTCATTATTTTTACTTGTACTGATGACATTTGAGTGCGGAAGCGTTTTCCAGGTGGCCGGGTCGTTTGTTGTTGACCTGGTAATGGTGACGTCGGCTCATCTTCCTCGTAGAACTCCATTGTTTCTGACGCAGTGTCTGAGCGTTCATCTGCATCCGATCCTGGGCGTGACAGGTCTACTGGCTTGCTGAGATCTAATGGTATTTCTGATTTTCCATGAGATAATTGTCTTTCTGCAGACTCATTATTAGCGCCATTTTGTTGCGCGACAGCGTGAGCTTGCAATTCACTTACGTAGCGTTTCATTGATTCTTCACTGTACTGCTTGATAAATTTCTCCATGTCTGAGTGAAAAGGCGGGAAAATAGGGGGCAACATGGGAGCCCCCCCTTGGGAAAAATTTTGCTGCCTATCACTTTGTTGAGAACCAAAGCTTGGGGTTGATTCGGTGCTTAATTCTTCATCTGGTAGAGCATCTACGTTTATTTCACCTCGTGCACACTGATCTGCGTGTTTGGTGCTTAAGTGGCTCTCTAAAGCACTCTTCACTTTAAATAACGCAGGACAAAAGGGACATCGTTTATTGATAACCTGTGCATGGGCCCGAAATTGGCCTTTTCTCTCCCGAGCTCTTGTATTTTGAAACCAAACTTGTACCACCCTTTTTTTTAAACCCACTTCTCGAGCAATATTTTCCAACATTTTTCGTGATGGATTTGACTCTATTTGATACTTTTGGTATAAGTAATCTAATTGTTCTGGCAAAATGGTAGTTCTTAACCGTTTGTCTTTTGGTTGTTCTCCTGTGTCTATTTCTTCAAATTCATCAAATTTCCTTTTCGCAACTTGTTGGTTAAGTGCTGCCACTAAAGGATGACGTGATTCCTCATTAGCAAGCGTGGCGTTTAATTGTTGTAACTGTGCGTGTTGTTGAAGTATTCCAAATGGTGAATCTGGTGGATACGTGGGAAATAAGTTTGGGTTCATTATATGAACAAGTTGATGTTCCCGCCATAAATCAAATCGAGGGAAGACAAGGTTGCATTTATCGCATTGAAAATTATCGTCTTTCTCTTCGGTTCGTGGCTGATGAGTAATGGGAGTTACTGGTGTAAGAGGGGCCTGTGGAGCCGGCGATACTGGGTAGTTAGGGGCAGCGGGTGTTGGAGTACGAGGTGGAGCAGGAGAAACTGGTACGTGAGGCACATGATGTTCAACTGTGCTTGAATTTGAATCTTCACTACTCAGAGTAGCAGCTACTTGGGCGGCAGCTGCCTGAGCTTGAGCTGAACGCTTCGCGTCTTCTTCTTTAAAACAATGTGTTTTCTGATGTCTTATCAATTCATAGTATCTCTGAAACACTAACTGGCATTTCTTGCATTGATAATTTAAACCAGGAGTACGTTGAAATCTATTTGCATCATCGGTTGCTCCAGTGGGTGGTTCTGCTGCTGGCTGATTTTCATAAACTTTTCGTGCTTTTTGGCGAGCGTTTTGAAACCACACCACAATAACTCTAGGACTTAGTCCAAGGAGTTTTGAAAGATATTCTAAGTCATCATCTTTAGGATAGGCGTTGTTCTCAAAAAATTCTTGTAGTACTTTGATTTGATAATCAGTGAATCTAGTTCTGTTGGCGCGTTTGCCAGAAGACCCCGAGCTGTTGGATCCATTCGAGTTGCCCCCGGAAAGTCCGAAATCCGCCGGTCCTCTGCCAGGACTCAGGCTGCGATTTGGGGTCAAAGGCAGGACGTTCGGGGGCGCGGAGTTTGGGGACGTGAAGTTTGGATTTAATTTTGGCGGCAACATAGATGGATGTGGTGGTTGTGGTATACTTGTCGCCGGTATTGAATCTAACTGAGACTGGATTAATGAATTTAGCGACAAATGTGTTGGTGTCTGTGGTCGTGAAATATTTTGTTGATGATCAGAATTATTTAATGCCGGACTTTGTAATGGGGCCTGAGGAAATATAAAACTCTTATCCTCTTGATGTCTGTCGTCATAAGAATTATATTTCTCTTCCATTGTCGGTTCGTCATTTGGTTCAGATTTGACTTCCTGATGTGTTATTGGTGTAGTGTCTTCAGTTTTTGCTTTTTTTTCAGGTGGTGGTTTGCCTTCATCAGAACTCGCCGATGAATCCAAAGGAGTCACTTTGGCTTCGCCAGTTTTCTCGTATTCTTCGAGATTAAGTGTTGTTGAAGGAGGATTATTAAAGTTATAAGGCGAGTCCTTATTGCGTTGACGCTCCTTAAACAGAGTGTTCCGGAACCAGTGCTTGATAACTTTTGTCGCTAAACCTGACTGCTGAGCCATCTTCGCAATTGCTTCGTCGCTGGGAGAATTATTAATGTCGAAGTGCGCTCGTAGTATTTTCAATTGTTCATCCGTTATACGAGTGCGCGCACGCTTTTGTCCGGCCGCAGCATTCGCCTGTTAACAAAAAACTCGTATAGTTATAAAGTTTTGACAGTAGTTTGAACAAAATTAATAATACAAAAATATTAACTTGTTACTTAATAACATGTAAAAATAAAACATCAAATAAACTGTTTGAATTAACTGATTGTTGTAGTGAAGAACTCATTTATTTGCGGTCGTAAGCCGCTCGACGATTGCAGGTAACTTTGAATAATAACAGAATCCGTTGTAAGTAATAATACTTCGACCCTACATGTTCAACAATAGACGCTCTGTTGCTTTGTGCAAACAGATAGCTAAAGCTTATCTAACAATACTTCGTACGATATTCTTGCCTTGCGATCGTCTTTATACAGGAAAGTTGACAAATGATATCGACGGTTTTATTTTAAACAAAAAAATTATAATTATTATTTACCGTATTTACTTAAAAATAAACGGCAAACATCATCATTTTGCATTTAATGCGGTATACTGTGTTTATTAAACGCACTAATTATTCTTTTAAGTTTTCATGTTTACTTCATAAAATACGAAAAAATTATAGATCTAAATAGGTACGAAAATATTCGATAGATTCATTCAGCACACTGTATAAAAATAGGAAAATTTTAGTGAATAGAATAAATGCTTACTTTGTGGTTTAAAATGACGCAAAAAGGCTTTGTCTTAAAAGAGAATTATTCGCACGTGAAGAACTTCGAACTCAACGTATGTACATTTGATTGTTCGAATGCTAAACAGACAATTAAGAATGATCTATGAACGCTTTTAAGGTCGCTCTATATCTAAGTACTTAAGGTTTGTTAATTAATCTATTTTATAGTATAACTATGGTTATTTGCATCATTTACAGTGAATATTCCACGATGACATTTTATGTAAGCTTATACCTGAATAATAAATGTTAACAGGTCATTACAGTGAGCTCGTGTTTCTGCAACAAGTTAATAAATAAACATTCCTCCTTTCAAAAACACCGATGGTAAAAAAAGTAGCTAATGGAATGTTTTACATTTATTTACTAGTTCGCTTGTTCGTCTATTTAAATTTCGTAAAATATATAAACATCTCAAGTAATACTGGCCATTCGGCACATATGTATTATATCGTCTTAATAATTCAATGACGTGTATTAACAATGATTACTTGTTATTTATAATGATAGTTACCTGTTGCTGTTGCTGCAATAGCTGCTGTTGTTTAATTTGCGCGTCGTGTGCGAATGGCATTGCGTCGAAAGGTGGAGGTGGAAGCATCAGAGGAACCAGCGGTGGCTGCAGGTTCATAGCAGCCAGAGCTCCGACGTTCAAGCCCAAAGGAAGTCCCAGGGACAACATCTGAGCCATCATAGGGTGCAGCTGTCCGAGCTGTTGCTGTAATTGTAGCATGTTGAGTGCAGCTTGCATTTCTTGCACCTGAGCCGCTAGCAGGGCTCCTGCCTGCGCATCACCCGGACCAGTACCGTTTTCATTGAAGCTGTTATTAGCCTCGCCCCGCGGCGAAGGCGACCTCTCGTCCTGCGGCGCGGGCGATGCCGCACGGGGCGAATTTGGCGCTCCCGATTTCCTCTCATATTCTGATTTGAACTGCTCCGCGAATTGCTCTAAAAACTCGAGCGGAACTTTATCTTTATGCACTTCTTCACAATGAGTTTTTAAAACGAACACACTAGAGAATTCCTTGTTACAATGTTGACACGTCGATTTCGTTTCCCCATCCGGAGGCTTTTCTTCAGGGGGCGGGGGCGGCGGGCTGGGCGCGCGCGCCATTTCGCGCTCCTCTTGCAATTTCCGCCGTTGATTCTCATTGTATTGCATGACGAGATCGAAGCCGAATGTCTCCAAAAGCTGCTTATACATTTGTGAGTTTCGTTTGGGCGGGTTGCCCTTGGCGACCATCTCGTCCAGCGCAGCTTGCTCCGCGTCACCTAGCGGCGAATGCGCCCGCGCATCGCCAAACGGACATGAGGTCGCACGGTGTGCGTCGAGTAGCTCAACGTTAGGAAATGACGCGTGGCACCGATCGCACGAGGCGCTACCTGCGCGAGGGGAGCGAGGGCTACCTGGGCGCGCGGGGGGCGAGGAGCGGGGCCCCCCGCTGCTCGTCGAAGAAGGGGATGTATTTTTCGGCGACAATACGTCTTGTAATATTTTCGCGGGGTCCGTTCTATCGGGTTGCTCGACTAAAGGACGCGTCAAGTCCACGTGGCCGGCCGCGGCGAGCTCTTGCAACTTACCCGCTCGCGTTTGATGCAGCACCGATCTCATGTGAATGTCTAGGGTGCTGCCCTGCGTGTAAGCTACTTTGCATATATTGCACTTATAACGTTTACGATCGTCTTCTTCGCTAGATGTACTTTTTGGGGTGAGCGTCAAATTGGAGGGCGCTGTCCCAGCTCCGGGTGATACGGGAGGGTTGTTATTGTTCTGTTGTTCTTGCATGGCCCTCTTTAATTTGTGCAAATGACTAACACTGTTGTAATGAACAAGCAAAATATTCTTTTGTGTAAACGACTCCTTGCATACATCGCATTTGAAAGGTCTATTTGGATCGAGGTATTTTTCCATCGGGTATGTTAGCTTTTCGCCTTTTCTGTGCAAAAGCGTTTTATTGTGAGCAGTTAAATAAGACTGGCGGGTGAATGCCACTTTGCATCGGTGACATTTATATTTCCTGTTCGGGTCATTGTATGAGTCTTCGGCCATTGCCTGCGAGTTTAAGTAGTCTTCCAAAAATTGTTGATCTTTATATATTATCGAATCGTCGGAGTTTTCGGCATCGTTATGGCCCGATTCGTCAGCAGCGGTGGCGCTCGAATCGCGATCTTCCATCTCACCTAGCTCATCGTCTGGAGTCCTAAGAGCTTCTTTGCGTAATAATTCAGCCGTAGCAGGATCTAGTGCAGTGCCCTGGTTCGCTTGTAGTAAAGGATTTGATGCGAGACTCCTTTTGAACGCAGCGAGATCTTCTTCCGAGAGCTCAGAGTGAGAGGTCTCGACATGTTTCTGTAGAGCTAAGACAGAACGGAAGCTTCGTCCGCATAGCACACATTTTGTTGCGTCCCTTATGACGTGATATTGAGAGTGTAATTGTAATTTCTCAATGGTTTTGAAAGCTAAGCTGCATTGATTACACCTGTATTTATATACGTGTTTTTCGGACACCGACATGTTCGCAATAGAGTTGCGAGCGTGAGCTTCCCTAAAGTGATTTTGTAGGGCGTGCGCCGCGTCGAAGTATCTGTTGCAGCCTTTCTTCCAACAGAAGTATCCGGGGCCTTGCGGTGTCTGCTTCAGTTCCAAATGGCCCGATTCGTTCTGGTGATGGCAGAGTTCGTCGACGTTGCGGAACGTCCTGTTGCAAGTGGAGCATCGCTCGGTTTCGCCGTCCACGCTCCCCTCCGAGCGCGGCGAAGAGATCTCGCGGTCGTCCTCTGCTTGTCGGGTTTCCTCCCTCTGCGGGTGTGATCCCCCATTCAGCCAATGGCTTTGGTCAACAAGGAGTAGCAGTCTCTGTAGGCCCTCGGAGTTGACCGAATGTATTTGCATGACATGCCTTTCTAGGGCCGGCCGCTCTTTGAACGCATCCTGGCATAGAGGGCAGATGAAATGACGCGCCGTGTCTCCGTGCACGGTGGTGACGTGCGCGTGCAGTCTGGATTCGGCGGCGCAACTAAAGTTGCAGTATGGGCAGGCGTGTTGTCCGGGAGTGTCGTGATCGTCTTCGCGTTCGCTCGGCCCTTGTTGGGGCTGTTGCTGGAGCGGCGGCTGTTGTTGTTGTTGTTGCTGCTGTTGCTGCTGGTGCTGGTGTTGGTGCTGCTCCAAGAATCGCATCATTTTCTGTTCTTGAGTCAATTCGGGTTTTTGGTCGATTGGCTCCTTATTGTCTGTTAACAATTAATATTTTTTTTAGAATCGTCATTAAAATAATAGTAGGTTAATAAAACGCACAGTTGGAAATAAAATCGCGACAAACCTCCCTTCGCGGAATCGACAAACCGAATGGATAGTCATTTATTGGCTAAAGCATATAAGCACCACCTCTCCCGGAATCTACGTGAGATTTATCTACAAAAAAGATTATTTCTATAAATGAAACGCACTATTGTTCGGCGTGAGCATTTGTTACTTTACTGAATTGTAGTTAAAAATAAAATTCTTCTCCTTTATATTATTAGTAGGACTCGTTTTGTTTGCCCGGCGTGGCAAGACAAAGGTATCGCTCTATCCATCCCGTACGCACACACTCACGTGCGCATTAATGCCAACGTAACAAGTATATTGTAATTTCGCACACAAAGACGACGCAGGACGAGCAAACAATCATTGTTCATTATTACAAAAGGTTTCGAATGTTTCGTTTCGCATCGTATCAAATGTATTCGGGTGTGTGACGTGTGTGACGAGAGGACGTGCGAGCGAGAGGCGCATACAATCGGGAGATGTGCGAATGCAATTATTATTTGACCAGGGACGTGTCCGCGGGAGCGTGTGAACAGAGCCGGCCCGCATTGTTTACGCTCAAACAAGGAAGCTGAATGGAAACGCCGATACAAAAAGCGTTGCTAATCTAAGACGTTACTTATACAAGATTATGTATATCGTAGTATTTCCTTCATGGAGAAAGTAATAACGTTCCATTCGAATATCGAATAATATAACTCCCGATAGTACATTTTAACCCTCTTTAACCAAGTACTCAATATGGAAATGTGTTCACATGTAGGGCTGAAGCGAAATATGGATTTGAAATTTCTCTAACACTATAGATATTCGTTCGGTTACAAACATTGAATGTGATTCTCAATAATTACCGGCGCAAATAACCGAAAGGGAGGCCGAGTGAAACCAGTTGCTCCCCATCGGGAACCCGTTTCATAGTTTTAACCGTTACATCTAATGAAGGGGAGAGGGATAAGCGAATCTGAATGCGTAATAATAACCGAGTAGCAACTGACCCCAATCCTGGACCGGGGTGTCCAGTGGACGTAATTATTTATGATGTAAAATCGCCGTCCGAATGTCTGGCGGGAACGTAGAACAATGTACAGGTAAAGGGACCGTCCATGCACGGACGATCCCTCAATGCATTCTGTCGATTGACAAAAGATCCTTTCTAAGGAAACACCACATCGTTAGGGCGTCGTAAATCGGCTATTGTGCAGCTTGAGTTTTGTTTTGCGAGATTTTGGGTCACGGTTTTTTCACGGCGTCTGGGATGTGCGCCGGGATGAGGACGTTTGTGATTTGGTTACCAAAATATGAGCTATTTGCAGATAAAGGTAAAGAATTACAATGCAAGTATTAATTAGCAAGTAAAGTGTTAAAGACAGAAAAGCAAAAGCAAAAAGTTGTTTTAAAAGAAAGTCAATCGGAGATCTGGACAAGTTGTTAGAAGATAATGTATTAGACTGTAAGTATTAATTACTTCTAAAGTTTCAAAAACTTTATCTTTTTAAAAAGTGACGATTAGAGATCGAATTAGTGATAACCAGTGAACTTGTTGTATTCTAGACATCAGATCAGACATGTATCAAAAATTCAAAAATGAAAACTTGATTATTCTGATATTTCGAACCGAGGGCCCTTAGTATGGAATGAAAAATTATACGAAAAATAAGAAACATTTCTAAAATACAATAAGCCGTTACTTACGGAACTAGTATATTACATTTTTTAAAATTAATTTGCATTTTACGAAAATCAACAAGGTAAAATATTTTTGATTTAGACAGTACATAATATTTATAATGTGATAGTTTAAATTGTTGTTTCGATTATAAAACTAGTCATACTTTAAATCCTTTCCTTGTTTTATATATATTTACATTGCATAAGAAAGTACTAATATGCATCCATACGAGCTGTCTCGCTGATTTACAATGGAACGCATGCAATTGGAAAAACTTTAAATTTATCTGAACACGGGCCATTTAAAGCGAATACTCAATAAGGTGAAAATAAGTAATAAACATAAACATGAGGGACACAATGGTGTAAGCCGGATTTCTTTCGCCTCCACATTTCTCTCGGAGTTTATCGTATTTCACCATGGCTATAAACACACGTCGGGCAATGAGGCCGGCGACATTGTAAAATGATGTAGCAGCCTCATCACAAGGGGGCAATCATCCTTAATGCGCAGCGGCCACATACGTAATGCGAGTCATTGTCCCGCGTGGCGGTACTTATGGAAAATTCGCGTTCTCAATTCAAATCTTCTCTCCGTCTCCCTCGCGCGCGGGGCGGAGCCGCCTCCGACCAATGACGAAGGCAGACTGTGGCGACACCGTTTAAGGCGTACGTTATTAAAGAAACCTGTTCTAATGTTGCGCGCTTTAAATTAAATTTTGTCCGTGTGTAATTATCTCATTATTGCCATTACGAATTCCCCGCTAAATGCTCATCGCCCGAAGTGGTGATCAACTCGCGAATTCGACGCGAGTTGTTGTTCCGTGGTACGATAATAAGGCCTGCGATAGGCACTGAACAAGCTCACTTCACTCTTAATTCCCGAAAACCGCCAAAATTAACACGAACCTAATTGTGTGTTTATTAACGCGATCCAGTAAAAGAGTTCACTTTGTTAAAAAAAATGCATAACAAAATTGATTAAGGAACGAATCGTTTTAAATTGGAAACCGATAGTGACGTTTCGAAATCACATTCATAAGTCGACTCCGTATTACTTTATCGATACGAACTCCGGTAATGGTTTTGGTTGAATTAATTTTAATGGGATTTTCACGCTTTATAGAATAAAATGTTACGAAATGTGTTTAGCAGGAGAGTAATAAATAATAAATATATTTCGCTTCTGTTCAACGTCCATGGATTTACGTGTTACACTAGCAACTACCGAGTAGAAAGAAGTACTGGGCTAATAAGCTGCGCACGCGCAACCAATTGCCATTCGAGTGAGGCTACTTTTTTATTTTACTTCTTCACTGAGTCCGGAATAGCTGAGGTTATATGTTACATAATCCAAACTATCTTTTGTTTTTAAACTCCCATTAAATTGAGACAATCAATTGAGGAAGTCAGTCTAAAACGATAATAACAAAAGAATTGTTACGGCCCGCGGTCTTCGAATATAATTTCCTTGTTCCTAACAAAGGTTAGGCAATAAAAGATTACTTTTTCGGTTATGCCTTCTGTTAATTAGATTTTTTTTATAGTAATTTATCTTTGAAGGGAAGTTGGTCAGCTCCGGTAACGACGTAAATTAAGTGCAATAACTCACCTTCCTGTTGATCGTACGGGCTTGGCAGCTCAGGCGGTTGGGGAATAACTTGGAAGAGCTCGGCGACGTCTGGCGTGGGGTCCTTGCCCTCGGAGCGCCGTTGCAGCTGATGGATTTGCTCCATTTGCAAGTGTTTCACGGAGCGCACGTGCTGCAGGAGGGGCAGACGGTGCGGCGCGCCGAAGCCGCAAAGGGCGCAGCGGTACACGCGTGCGCGGTCACGTGGGATCCTGGCCGCGCACTCCCGGAGGTGCCTCAGTAACAAGGCGGCCGCTTCGTGCCGCGCCCCAGCGGCGTGCAACTGCAGCTTGTGGGCGGAGTTCGTGTAGTAGTCGCAAGCGCAGCATCGTACCTGCACTCCACCGACACCTGCACCACTAGTGCCCACTCCACCGCAGAACTTCAGCTTCCACTCGTTCCGCGGCCCGCCCTCCTTGACGTGGTTCACGTGCTGCAGCCGCTGCAGATGCTTGTCAGTCTTGCAGTGCAGCTGAAAGTTGGCCTTGAGGTTCGTTTTGTACGTGCACAGCTTGCAGACGTAGTGTCCTGCTACCAGGGCCAGGATCTCCTGTTCGCGTATCTTCGTACGGTCCTGCGCCAAGTGGTGGCCGAGTGCTTCTAACGAATCGGTGGAGAAGCAGTTGCAGATGCAACAGTGGTATGTCCTCTCTGGCTCGGGATCAGCTGGTTCGGGTGGTGGTTCCATCGCTTCTGGGTTGAGTCCAACGTCTAGATGCGCCCCCAGTTCGGGTGGTGATGGCCCGGGGCCTCCAGTCATGAGTTGTATCATCAGGGCTTGGTTGTACGCCATGTCGGCGAGGGCGGCTTCTGGATTCGGTGGAGGCGCTTCGCCGCTATGGAAATGTAACAAGCTTTCCAACTGCTGCTGGCTTTGTTGTCTATGGTGTAATGCAGAAAGGGTTTGCATGTGTTTCACGTTTTGCTGCAGCACCAGCATATTGTGTGTGTGCTTCTCCGAGGTCATGTGTATTCGCAGATTGCGTGCAACATTAGTCTCGTAATTGCAGACATCACAGCGAAAGGTCGGTTTTGGCTTTTGACCTAAGGGCGAATGATGAGGTAGCGGTGGTTTATGCCCGCCTGGCGGGGTATGCTGAGGAGCTGGTGGCAATGAACTTTCTCCGGGGTTGCCGCCATTTTGCAGTTCTTGCATGTTGTTTAAATGCTTGTCTGATTGCATGTGAATGCTAAGGTTGCCTTTAGTTGTGGTAGAATAGTTGCAAACTTCACATCGGTACGGCTTGTAACCACATGTGTAGGTCTCACCACGGGCCAATCGAGGATGTGGTTGTCCAGCAATGCAATAAATGCAGCTGGTTTCCGCTTCAGGGTGCTTTTCTTTCATGTGTATTTCTAAAGTTTCCTGGTATTTGTAATGCCAGTTGCATTTTGGACATTTCAATGTTTTGCAGGAATTACGACTGTGCATGCCCGCCAATGGGCCGCCGAGTCTACCTGAATTCAAAATAAGTTCGCATTTCGGACAGTCCGCGCCTGATGGTCTACCACCAAGGTGATCAGGGCATACACCAATAGTAGTTCCAGAAAGGAAGGCTGGTGGCGCCGCTTGAAATGGTGGCGACGAATTTGGACTTGCGCGAGGTTGTACTGATGCGTTTATCGTATGAGGATGCGCAACAGATATCAAGGAATGTTGTGGAAGTAACGATTCGGCTATCGACCGTGGCGGCCTCCACGCTGGCGGACTCGGTCGTCTGTCATCGCATAACCCATTTGGTAACATAGAATCGTTGTCACGATCAGGTGTCATATTTTCTAATCGCTTGTCTACGGAAGGGCTTGACAGTTCGGACATATTAGCAGGACTGCCCGATATTGAAGCACGAGGCGGTGCCGCCGCACCTACAGGCTCTAAAAATGAGACTAGCGGTTCTTTATCCTTTCCCACACATTGTATTATCGCAGAGGCATTTTCTCTAGATAACGCGTCTCTCTCCGTATCAAGCAGTGATAAACTATGGTCTGATTGGGCATGAGCTACAAAAGATTTAGCGTAGCCAAAACTCAATTTGCAAATAAAACACATAAGGATCGGCTTAACCGGAACGCTGACGGGGCACTCAGCGGGCGGCGAGGGTGGCCTGGGAGTGTCTTTGCCGCCACGAAAACTGAACACGCGATAGCTGTGCATAACCGGCGCGTCGGGCCTGGCCCGCGCTCGTTCCGCCGCCAGTCTGCCGTACAGCGCGCCGTACAGCCGAGGAGTTCCTCGATACGTAGAACGCGCTCGCTATTTGGGGGAAATCGAGCTGTTTCTCCACGATGTTGCTGTCGCGGCTGTCGACTATGCACCCGGGCTCGATCTTGGGCAGGTCCGATAGGCTGGTCTCGCCCTCCGACATCTCGGGGTCCTCGATGATGTAGGCGGAGCCGTCGGGGTTGTAGACGATCTTGCCGTCGAAGCGCTCGACGTCGGAGGAGAGCGGCGGCGAGTCGCGCCTCGAGGTGAGGTCCACGGCGTCGGGCGCCGCGGGGGGCGAGGTGGGCGCGGGGGCGGAGGAGGGGGCGGGCGCGGGGGCCGCGGGCGCGGCGGGCGCGTTGCGGGGCTCCTCCTCGGGGCTCATGTCGCCGTCGTCGTCGGGCTCGAGTGCGGCCGAGCTCTGGGGGTCGTCGCGCTTGCGGCGCCGCTTGCGCTCCGGTGGCGGGCCGCTAGCGGGGCCGCCGGCCTGCAGCGGCGTGGGCATGGCGCCGGGCGTCAAAGGCCGGCATCACATGCTCTCCTGAAACGAAACGTAACGTGAACGCATATCCACACGGTCCGTTCAACGCGCCCCAACGGCGATCTTTTATCTCGCGAACGAAAGGTCAGCGATATAATAAGGTTACGTAATGTCGGTTCGGTTCTCTCACGGACCCAATCCGTACGCGTACCCGAAGGTGATTATTGTATACACGTTTGTAATGCGCTCGTATCAACCGGAAGAAGGTGCAGCCGCTTTGTATCGGTCATTTTGTTTACGGAATTCATGCAGCAAGTAGGAAATTCAGCTCCAACAACTTAATTGTTATTCTAATAACGAAATTTTATTTTGGATTGTTCTAGAATTGTCTTCGCATTCAGGTAATGTTAATATCAAAATTGTTTATGATAACAATAGTGTCATACTATGACTATCAACACTCTGAATATCTAAATCTTAGTTTTATTTTTGTAGTATAGGTCGGAATGAAGTCACATATACAAATTAATACACTCGGTAGGTAATCATCTCTTATCATAACGGGCTTTTGCGCAAACAACTGATCAATTTATCCGTGTGACAGGCTGTCAACGCTGTCAATACTGACATTTTTACAATTAAGCAACCAACTTCGTTGGATCCCGGTAAGCATAGATTCGTCGATCAGAGAGTCGTTTTTCATTGGAATATAATCCTTATCAGCACATGACTTTAAGAGTGCAAATTGCGAGAAATTGTGAACGAACATATTTGATAAAGCTAGCGTATAATCTTGAATAAAAATTCGTTAAAAAACCGAGATTAACTCGTCATCTCCGTTATCTCGGCCGTTATCAATGATATCTACGTATTGCACAAACACCTAACGAGGCCTCAAATAATATATTTAGTTAGATGACAGCACAGTGATACCTAATCGAGGAAAATGACACATGACATGGAAAAATTCATTCTATAAGAAGTTTATTTTATTTAATCACAATAAAAAATTAAGAAAATTGTTACTATGTTTTCTTCCAACACTGGTTTATCTGAATAAATTTTACTATAAATCATTAAAATGTTACAGCTTCTTTGTCCCCGTTTTTTAGTCCTAATGATAAACTGTATAAGTACCATACAATATTAACATTTTGTGTTGAACCAAAAATCTTGAAAAGATATGAACGATATGTCATACGATAAATTTTTTATACGTTATTTGTAAAATAAAAAGTGAAACTACGTCCTTTTGTGCCTTTATCCAATTAGAAAATATGATCCATGTTCTTTGCAATTCAGTTAGGGAACCTTATACAATGTCCGTTTAATCAAACGGTTCATTAAATGAAACATAAGAAATAATACTCCATCCATTAATAACACATCATTCTAAATATCTGATAGGACTTTTTAAACTAGTCAAACGATACCTATATCGATTTTCCTCAAAGAGTTAACTCGAAAACAATTAGCGAGCGTGCCGTTTCTTACAAACTAAATGAGTAATAAATTACGCAATCGGCTAATCAAGTTGACTAATAACTAGCAGGATGCGTGCGAACGATAATATATAAAATTAACGCAATAATACTCCTAAGCTTACACCGGATGTCCACGGTGATAAAGCGAGCATTCAAATTAGTTTTTTTTTTCAGCCTCGAAAGGCGTTGTATTTCTGATTCGTCCACGCCAGCCGCGGCCGCGCCTGTCTGTTTGTTTTGCCAACCGTCGTTCGGTCCCTTAAGTATTAAACGATAAATTGTATTACTCGAAGCCGCGGCGATAATAGGATATAAGTAAATATTTGATGTCTATAGGCCACAGAATCAATGGATGCACTGTTCGTTCTAAACGAACTTCGGGATTTGCTTCGCTTGTGTAATACTAAAATAGAATATACAGAGTTTTGTTTTTAAAGCACAATTCTGCAAAGCTGATAGGACTATCCATGGTTACTCATAGCTCCAGAGGCTGTGACACCTATCCTCGTCAGACGAAACGAAAAAATAGGGTATCAAGTGTTGATAGTTGAACTCTTGCGACCCGCCCCGGCTTCACATGGGTGCAATGTATTATACATATAAACCTTCCTCTTGAATCAATCTATGTATTAAAACCAATAGCATCAAGATCCGTTGCGTAGTTTTTAAGATCTATGCATACATAGGAACAGACAGACAGCGGGACGACTTTGTTTTATAATGTGTAGAGAAGTAGGTAAACGAGCAGGCGGTTCACCCGATGTTAATTGATTACCATTGCATCTAAATCACCTGATGTTGCTTATATTAAAATATTGAATTAAAATACGGCTACCTTACTCACCGGACGGAACGCGAAAGAATAATACTTCCATTTCAAGCTGGTCTTCTGAGATTGATGTAACAAGTCACTTATAAGAAGTCGTATATGGCAGCTATATTTTTATTCAAGATTTGAATATAATAAATCTAAATATAAGATTTATATCGCGTATAACGATTTCATTTGTTGATGTTGAATAGGAAGAGATTACCAGCACGATTAACATCACTGTATGACATACGGACACATTAATTACAACTGTAATTATTGCGGTTTTTCTCTGCAACAGCAATTTGCAGATCGTTTCGCAACGCTCTAATGCACATGGAAATACGGAGAGACGGTAATTAGAAGCGATGGTAACGGACGCGGTGCGTTAGTTGTAATCCAAAATAATAACTTATTCATATGCATGTTACAATTTAAATTCCAATAGCAATGAAATCCAATAAGATTTTCAAAGCACACATTAGCCGCGATATTAGAATGCATCGTGACGCCGCGCAGGGATTTATTAATGCAACGAGTCGCGCCACAGTTGACGCGGAAGTGTATCATTAAAAAGAAACCGATGCGAAATCACAAGGGCCGGATTTGAGCGGGTGCAATTTCTTTTCTATTTCGCAATCGGCGTTCGTTCAGAAGTGGCGCTTGAAAGGTAAATGTTTAATGACGGAACACGTGTTGTACTTCCCAACGTAACAATCAGCGCCGTTGTCTAGTCCCACTGATGCCCCGACGTCCTAAGCTGAACTAATTTCTGAACACGCACACACCGCCACAGTGTTATGTGTACGTACATACATAATTGCGCAAATGTGACCGTGAGAAAACTGCCGCGGAAATACGTGACGCTTCGCCCGATATAGGCATGTGTGTTCGCACACATTGACGCCCTGCGTACGCGCACCATTAGGTTGCCCGCATCGAATTAGTCTTTCCACAATAGTTATCGAAACCGAGATAATGAAGATGAGCGCTTTTGAATTGGTACGATGTTGAAAAAAAAAAGTTTACAACGCTAACGCGAAACGCTCTCTTAATAAAATTTGCATTTTTATTTCCCTCCGAAGGATATCTATAAAAATATCATCGATAATACACAGAAAATTGACACTTAAATCCACGTACCGCACACGTGTTCCTTGCACGCATGTGTTTAAGCGTTAAATATTGATGATTTTAATTGGGATTTTATGAGCTCGCAAACAAATTTTGAGCTCTGTCCGAATGGAATTTCATAAAAAGAGTATCGCAAAAGTTTTAATTCAACGAATTAATAAACGATAATACGAACACCTGCGTACGGACGTTGACGTTGCTGCCACATTGGATTAATACTTTGGACATATCTCACGCAGGTAAGGGCGGCCCTATAACTAGGAGAGGCAAGGTTTCCATATTAATAATGGTCTCTTATTACCCGGAGCCTCATTAAACCGCCGACTACTTGCTCCACGAAACCGCAGAACACGGCAAATAATTAGGCCCTCTTCCCTCACGATCTCGGCGTAAGCGCTTTAAGCGCGTCTTTAGTAGATACAGTCGGGACATTATAATAAATAAGGTATCAAACCAGCGATGTCGGGCACCGCACCGAAAACGTCGGGCCGCGATTAATGGAAATAAAATTAATCGCATTCCGATCGGACGATTTATTTAATACCCGGATAATAAGTGCGCGCCGCGTGTGTAGAATGTTCGCGTAATGGAGCCAGCCTCGTTAGATGTGGGAAAGTCGGTGCGGAGTCCAGGGCAACATCGCGCTGCCCGCGTCCGACATTGTCCACCGTTAGGGGCTGACTTTAAAGCTTCATCGACAATAATGATGCTGAACCCGAGCGATGGGAATCCACCTTTTTGTCTGCGCCCGCGCCTTTTTCGCAATGCTACGGTAATAGCCCCTCACACTTCGGTACATAATGCTCGATCGATAAAGCCACACGTCGTTTCTAGTTAGACCAGTAAATTGTGAACTAGATCATAGCGGTATTAAATAAGACTTTTCCATTTATTAACTGTACCTATAAATGTTTATCGAGAAATAAAAAAAAACGAGTTTTATTTCGACATCGTCACAAAACGAAGAGGAAATCGACCCGATGTCAGTTGTTAGCCATAAATTAGCATCAGTTTTCTAGTGGTTGTCCGATTTGACGCAAATAGCTATTATGCGCCGACTCACCGCAGTACTCGTAGAACCGTGGATAAGTGAGTGCACGAATGTCTAATGGAGAAAGCCCCTATTAAAACGGCTCTCATTACGGGCACAAAAACAAAGTGACATTGCGAATTCGCATATGAAACCGCTCGCTTAATCACAAAGCGTTCTGCGTATCGTGGAACGGAGCGTGTGGGACTAACGAGACGGTCGATAATTCGCGAGTACGGTGCCATTAATTTCGTCAACCTAATTAGCCCGTTTCGGGACAATTTTCGCTCCGAAAATCGAACGCAAATAATGGGGCATTATAATGTTGGAGGCATGGTAATCTTCGAAAGTAGCGAAGATCGCGCAGGACCTTTTTTCTAATTCATTCTCTCTCGGAGATAATTGGACGAGGCGCCTCGGCTTTTGTCTCAGGCAGATGCTGCCAATGACGACTGCTGATTTTCATTTTGTTCGTACGGGTGACTTTTCCACGTTTTCGAGTAGATTATAATTATGTACATTTTACTTTTTTACACTTAACGGTGGTAGAGCCACGCAGCAGCCTCGGCTGTTGCACGAATGGGCAGGCTCGTCCGGGTAAGTACCACGACCTCACAGAAGACGATTGTGGAAATATGACAAATACTTTCGCGTTTCGTCTGGTGGAGGTAGTCGGAGCCCAATTTCAAAAAAGGTTGTCAACGTACCTGCAAACCCTCGGGTGTAGCAGATGTCTATGGGCGGTGGTATTCACTTAACATCAGGTGAACCATCTGCTCGTTTGGCAACTTTTCACATAAAAAAAAAAAAAAAAAAAAAAAATTTGTATTTGGCACTATAAAAACGATCGTATCACGACTTCGTTTCGATTCGAATTTTTTTTTTTTTTTGGATATTTTTATAGCCCGATGCTTGATTGGCCATGACAGGTTGCCTGACGCTATCGTAGTGATTTAGCAAAAGCACAGCACCGTAAAAAATTTAAACGCTCCTTTGATATGATCTGGAAAAATAACAAATTTTCGCGGATATTTGATGCATTTTTACTCTGTGATAGCTCGCCGAGAGTTATAAAACATTAGTCCGATTTGATCGGTAAATTGCGAGCCCCAGGTCCTAACTCTTTCGGTTCAGGCGAGAGGAGCATCGCGTGAAGTCCGCAGGTTACCTGATAGGCGCCACCCGGCCGATGTGCTCTTAAGAACCGTCAATTTGCGTCTGTAATTATCGCGGACCCTTCGATACTTATTTCTACTTTTTTTTATCCCCGGCTTAATTGTTGCAACAGACGACTTTTTTGTCGAGCAACCTCAAAGAGAGCGGAAAGGCATCAAACGGAGCGTCGAATTTGGAAATAATTATACATAAATAGTCCCTTGAGCGGGCCGATTAAGACAATTTCCGAGCAAATTGCCGCGGACGAGTATAATAGCACACGATCCGCCGCCATAAATAAATCCGGATTACTTTCCTTTACGAGATTAAGATTGATTCGGTGCCCGCGCTGTTAATGCGCCCGAGACGTGCTCTCGGTAGACCCAAACGCAGAGCGTTCGCGTGTCGTGGCCCATGAGATAATCACGGCCGACAAATTGCGGGGCTTCATTAAAAGATAACCGGTGGATATCGACGGTCGGACGGCGAGATGTCCGGACGTTCGGACGGTCGGCCGTAATTAATGATCGATACACGTGAAATAATTAATTAGCGGCCCGGGATCGTATCGGAGGCGCCTGGGGGCACCGCACAAAAAACAATGACGCGCGTTTCGGCGCCGGTGGCGTTGCGACGCGACATACCGCGCTCTGTAATTTGGGAGGCCTCGAATTGGCCCTAATCTCGTCTCGGCAAGAGCGTGACGCCGGCTAATTTGCTAGAATGTGTCATTAATGGTGATTCGAATGATTTCTCTTAGTGGCGACTAGTGTAAGTAGGGTTGGTCGCAGTCGCCAACGATTTTGCACTTTATTACGTTAACGGAGAGTATCAATTACCTCGTATATAACGATGTAATTAAAAATAACTGTAAAATAACTGTATATAATTTAAAATTATACAGCTTCGTTGTAAATTTTGATTTTAGTTTAACGCCATAAACTAGCAACATTTATATTGGTTACGGAAATAAGACGAAATAATTGTAAATATTAAATTCTCTAAAGTGGATTACCGTTCGAGTGCCTAGCTCTATGTAGATTCGAAACGTTGACAAATTTTATGTTTGCTTTGGCCGTAAAGGGTACACATGGGCGCGGCCTAGGCCGGGAGTTGGCGCGGCGGGCGATTAGAGATTCCCACGTTTTTCCGCGTTGTAATTGTCGAGCGACGCGCTAACCGTCGGGATGCGTGTGCGCAATTAAAAGCTAACCCGCAATCAACCGCCATGTTTGTACACGGACGATGTTAATAGCCCTCTGTAATTATATACCAGTATCATGCCGTGTCGCTTCTCGGAAGGCCGATCGAATAAGTACGACCTATTTCGGCGGCGTTTAGACCTCGCCAGCACTGGTATAATTTGAGAGAAACACAGTCTAGGTTCGCTTAAAAGCTGACCATATTTACCATCAGCGAAAAACTGAACTTTAACTACTCGATAAAGTTAAGAACATGGAGGACAAATAACAATATAATACAGTTATTTTTCTAATCTAGATAGCCTAAAATTATTGTTCTCTATTGAGGAGGCTGGGTTCCCTAGGTCGTTTTTATTCTTCACTTAACACATGTGCATTCTTATTCAGTCGTGTTCGTATACGAAGATCAGAACATTACACTACCGGTTATATAATGCTTCACTTAACATAATTATAAAACTAAATATGGCGCGGGATCCGAAGTTTTCGGTTAGAGGTACAATAATTCGGAAGTAATAACGGTGGGGGGCCGTCACGGGCGACAACGCGAGGATTCCGTATCGACATTTACATGCGGCGCGTTCTTAGAGCGGGTTGGGCGGCCTCCCCGCGTTCGCCCGGGGAAAGAATATCCGAATTCTGAATTCAATTACAAAGGAGGCTCCTACGCGAGGTGTGCCGCTGCACCCGCGCCTCCACCAAAAAGGGTGTATGACAACTCAATTCCTCCTTGTTATTAAGACGGCTGCGGATGGGGGCTGGGGCGAGGAAGAATGCTAATTTGAAATTCCTCTTGGCGCGTTCATATGCGCGTTATGTATTGCCCGCAACAAAAGCCGCTCCACAGTCGCCCGGGCGCGTAATTTCAATCTAATATTCAATTCGAGCGAATCCTACGTTTTATATTTATTTATTCAGCTAAAGCGCTAGGATTCGCACGTCGTCGGATGAGATCTTTTCTAAGCGAATGTTTGTTTGTCGCGTTACTATAATAGCGACGGTTGTGTTAGTGAAGTGTATTTCGAAATAGACATTAGGCGGTTGTTAGTTTAGAAAGCGCAAAGAGTCATAGCTAGTCACGAAACTAAACGAACATAAGGTATGAACGTTTTCATGACTAACACATCGGTACGAAATCGGTACGATATCTCAATACATCGAGCGGGCATAATTGCTTCATTCCCACGCGGAGCGAAGGGTATAAATTTCACCTATCACAATAGGTGCTTTCCGTGGACAATTCACGGCTAAACGGGGCCCCCGATAGACACCTAATGCTCAAGTCGTGATAAATCAGCTTAGGAGCTCGCGTTGACCCTATTGCGACAGAGCTTCTTAAGCATATTTCGTTTCCGTACCTGTACAAAACAAAAAAAATGACCATGAACTTTTATCAATTACTTACTTACACTAAATAACAATGTTATTGCGTTACAGTTCCCAAATGTTTTTTTTAACAAAAAATAAGGAATAAAGAAAAAAAAAAACAATAAATGAACGAGCGACCTACAAAATTTACAGTCTAAGCACCGCTGAAATCTATTAAGCACAGAACTGTAACGTACCCGAATGACTTTATACCGCTTACGTTTCCCGCGCTACAAGATAAACAGCAAACTAAATATTCATTGTTCCAATTCGATCATAAGTCAAGGATGGCAATAGGTCTCGGATTTCAATTTGTCACGATCGCGTTTGGGGGACTATCACTGCGAAATACTGAGGTCACAACTGAATTAGGAGAGAGCACACGGCCCGAAGTCGTGTGCGATTCTAAGGTCGCCGCCAATGAGGTTTTATCGATGTCCGGACCCGATAAAGAATGCAACAGCACCGAGTCTAGCACATGAGGGCACTATCGATGCGCCACCATGCGCGGTTATTACTTCGATAGGCGATACGAAAGATTAGGTAATAGCGGCCTAGATTCTGAAAGCCGGCTCTGCATCGACTAGAGCGTTGTGAGAAATTGGAGTTTTAAATTTGCACGAACCGAGCGGGCGGAATCTAAATTGGGACATTATCAAAGCACTAAACGGGCTTAATAGACTTAACAAGTACTTAATAAATCCAATTGATTACAGTAACAGGGGCAGCCATTTTGGAATTATTGCTTGTAAGTTAAGAGACAGTTGTGTATCCACTCTCGGCGCGTTAATTGGCAACAATGACTGTTTAATGCCTCAATAATTTGTACCAACTAAAAGTTATTTCTAAGATTCAATTGCATTACATTTCGGAATATTTCAATAACATATAAAAAATGCAAATTGCATGCTTTTACGTACAAATTCGTATGTTTATAAAAAGAATCATAGTCAAAGTAGTTTTGTTAAATCTCGAAATAATAAAAAAAGCAGATGTCTACATATCTGTTATTAAGGATAAAAGAAAATTTATTTAAGTATGTTCAATATAGTCAATACAATAAATACACCTGTACACTATAATTCAAAATCTTTAATTCTTTAACGGACAGTTTACACAGATCTAATTAGTGCAGCCGACCCCGCATTGCACGGTTGACACCTAATCGAAATTCAACGCGGTCAAACTTGTTATTACAAGAACCAGAATGGTGTTCACAGTTTTATTGGCGAGTGTGTAGGGAGCAGCACTTTCAATAGAAACGCTATCGTAGGGATTGCCTACCGCATAATGACGTGGAAACCAGTTGACGTTAAATATCATTCTTTACGTCCGTTAGTGTGTGCAGAAAGCGTGTTTGGGCGTTTTCTTGATAATTCGCGTCGGTGCGCTCACCGGAACGCTCTGTTGTGTCCGAACTTCGCAATAGTTCGCGAGTTTTATGCGAACGCTTGTCTCGGTCGCTTTTTAATTGAATACGCTTGCCGCTGGCGCCTTTCGATTATAAATGGCGTAATTGCAAAACGTAATAGAAAAGCAGCTTGCGGTGCTCTATGACTTAAGTTGGTGTAGATCCGGCGTTGTTTTCTTCACATTAATGGAACTTATGGGGATATATTATGTAGATCGTATTTTTAAAGTACTTGTTTCGCTTTGCTTGTATAGTATAAAGTAACTGACTTTACTATTTAATTGTGGTGGGGCCACGTAGCGGTCTTCGATGTTATGCGAATGGGCAGGTCCTTCCGGGGAAGTACCTTACAGAAAAGATCAGCGTGTGGAAGAAGAAGTGAAAGTTTTATACTTTGCGTTTCGTCTGGTAAGTGAGGTAATCGGATCCCATTTAATCAAAAGGTGGCAACGCATCTGCGACCTTACGGGTTTTACCAATATCCAGCCAAAATCAGGTGAAATGCCAGCTCGCTTGCCATCTTATTACATAAAAAAAGAACTTGTATCAAACCTAAGAATTTGTAACATCTTTTTTTTCAATTCAAGATTCCGTTGGTGTAACATTAATGAATGCAGTAAAAAGTAATTAATATTTCCGATGCAGTTTGAAGTGTAACAAAGAACTCCGGTTGTAATTCATGACGCACCTACTCCCGGGCTGGTCGCATCGCCACAGAATAATAAATCTTTAAAAAAACCAACAGAGATAAAACCGACATTGTCGCATGATAAATGATCAGTTTTAAATTTAGAATCAAAACTAAAGGGCACCAGCACCTTATAACGAACGCGACGAGCCCCGTTTATAATTATAATTAATATTCCTACGATATTAAAGTGGTCGATGGTACAAAAAAAAAAAACAAGATTCGACGCGAGAATTAATAACAAACAAATGGGCTACCTGCGGTGTTTTTTGTGAGCCCCCACAGGTAAGGCCGTGATGATGAAAGGAGCTCATATGGCTCAGTCTTAGGTTCTTAAACAATATTGTAAAATTTTGACACGGTTGCACCTTTTAATGGGGAACGGTGCGGCGGCACGTTTCATTAGAAGCGCGGTAAACAAAGCGATAGAAAAAAAAAACTCAACTACTAGTCGACAGATGGCGGCGCGACCAATTACGGTGTTGATACATGGCCGTTCGCGCACTTTGCCCAGTACGAATGTCATGACCGGATAAGATCTGACATAATCCCGAATCCGACAAAGTGGAATACTCCGCGGGAAGGTGTCGTGTTCCTGCCGCTCCGATTTATCGGGAATTTGAACAAAACGAGAGTCGCATTGGAAACAAGAAACCGACGATTCGAAACCCGGGGGACAAAGGAGAGGAACTCTCTAAACGTGATACCATAATGACAAAACAGAAATATGATTTCGATTAAACCGCGCAACAGTGAGGGCCTGATTGGGCGCGCCCGTGGGTGCGAGTGGGACGGGAATCTGGTTAATAATAAAAATATTTTATTTGTATAGCGGGGTAAAACACCCCCGCTGCGGGCTGTTTGGTTGGAACGGCATCCATCATTATTATAGTAACTGATTTAACACTTTTGAACAGATTCCAGTGACGGCTGTGGGGCATTAATTCCCGGGACTAGCGCGTATTCGACGAAATTATTATTAGACAGTGTGCGCGAACATTTTTCACTATTCGACACACAATGCTTGTTGCGACAGATGATTTATGGATGAATTAAGTATCGTATTAATTAGAAGCAATCCTGTCTTTGAGCTCCGTATTAGGACGTTCTGGCCTAGTAAAGTGCAATTCTTAATTTGGTCATGCGGGGAGTTATTAGAGCCGCCAACGTGCTCCGGCAACATAGTCGCTATAATTTCAACGTCAGCCCCGACTGACGTTAGTGTCCATAACTGATTTACATCTCGCTTTACTTGTATAATTCTTCCATGTTTAATATGTAGCGAAATGTCAGTAGAAATGAAACACGGCGTTGCTTTTGAAATTCGTGCCGTAATAGTTCGATCGCGTCGCCTATAAGGCGAGCCTCCATTATTTTATAGGACGAAAGCGTTTCAACGTCAATTACTTCTCCGGTCTAGCATTAATTGACATGTAACTAACGTGCACGAGTTATTATTAATATTAAACGGCTTGAAGCGACTGTTTCACTATTTAAACTAACTTACGATATGAGGAGGCGATCGTTTGGGCCATGCCAATGCAATTAAATGAAACGATGCGTGTCGATATTAAAATGGCCATTGATATGGTAAGTTGGTTATTTCAGATGCGGGCGGTGGCCGGACGGTCCCATGCCTGCTTTGTTCACAAATTTTTGTTCGCTAATCAATAAGATTCGACCCTCGGTCCAATTACCATTGGAGAACGACAATAGTGTTTGCCCACAATGGATCTGTTCTATCCGCCATGTTTATTTGTTAGTGTTTCGAAACGTAGTTTGCTATTCAAACTGTTCGTTCTGCCTTGGCTGACGGGTTTTTATATATATTATAATGATTTTAATTTTATGGATATTTTGCGTTTGTATTGAAAACAACAGAAATTTTTTTTTTATGTGAAAAGTGCTTTCATTGTGGCTTCTAAACAGCTTTTACAGTTTTACGAATAGCCAGATCCATTTGGGGAAGTACCACAGCTCGATAAGAGACCGTTTTGTTTGGTGAGTGAGGAAACTGGAACTCACTCTCTAAAGTTGGCTATGTATCAATAATCCCATAGGAGCCTGCCCATTCGACAACAGCAGAGGCTGCTGCGTGGCCCTACCACCGGAGATAATTAATGTTTTACAGTAAGCATTTTAACTGTACGTAGAGTATGCGTACGTTTTTAAGTGTACGTAGTCTACGTTGTACGAAAGGGCAGGGCCATTGCCCCTTACTATAGGATATCATTATCCCGTGGAGGACATTTTATATACATACATTTCACGTGGGCAAACATCCAGATCCGGAACAGTCATCTTTGGGTCACACAAAAAATAGCAATCTTGTGTGGGAATCGAACACACAAACCAGCGCTGAAGCCGATACATTGGCAACTGAGCTACGGGGTCATCAAATATGAATGAGCTACGGGGGTCTTAATAATTTAAATTTATTAATAAGATGGCAACAACAAATTGTTTTTTTTTTTTTGCAAAATCCATAGGGTAATCCATGTGCAGTGGTTATTGCTTAAAACGGAACTGCCAGCTGTTGCTACCTACTCACATAAAAATGTCACTGATGTTTGTTTTCTTAATCTATCCATAATTATTTGGTACTAACAGATTTTAAAACTCAGTTTTCTAGAATTGAATATGATGTCGTATCTTGGCTTATATTTATTATAATAAGTATAGACTTTTCGATAAAAAATATGTGTGGGACGAACGACGATTTCTATATCAGTTACGGGTTTTCCATACAAATGGATGAGTCATAAATTAAAATTTTTCTGTTTTATGAATGGTTGGTTATTTTGGTTCACATCTTTATACATTCTATATTCAGCAGTGCTGCAGTTCCGTAAGTAATTAATTAAAGTAATTTATAAAAAATTAATAAATCACGAGTTTGTTTCACACGGTGCGCAATTAAGAATTATACTTTAATTTGACCTTATAAAGTCTCCAAGGCAAAATCGTATCCCAGATAAGGTGCACTCAGCTAAATGCTCCCTAAAGCTAAACGATCGGCTCCATAATATGCATGCTAAACAGATGCTATTGATAGCGAGCCCCGAGCGATTCGCGAGAACTGCATCATCGCGAGCGGTGGAAAACGTCCCGCCGTCGCCAGCACACGCTCCCTCGCCGGGGTCAGGGAGGAACGACCAAGTAACCGCCTAATGAGCCTCAAATCACAGTTACTCATGAGGCGTTCGCATCACAACCAATTGAAAGCGCTCCAATAACACTGCCGCGACACCGCGTCTCGGCCGCTTCGTGTGGGGCGCGTTCGCTCTTGGATAATTTAATGACCCGCTGGATGGCCGCTCGCTGCGTTATGCTAATGTTCGTAAGCACAAACGCATGTTTCCACCTAGTCGGCCAAACTAAATGTGCAAAGCAAGCAGGTGTGCGGAGTAGACTACCGTTTTTAGTAGTCGTGACGCTCGTTTGTAATTAAACGGCCATCGGTTATGATAAGATGTTGACATCAGTGTACGTTTATCTAAATTTTGTGCATATGACAAGCATAATTGGAGGCAAAACTTGTACCAACTGCGTCTGAGCTGTTGGTTTCTTAGCTTCACGACATTAACGGAGCGCACTTCGAGTATGGATTTTATAAAGCGGTGGTTATTACACTCCGCCGATAACGAGTGTTTAGCGCATGACTGGGCGATGATTAAACTAATGTAAACACATTTGTACCGCCATCAATTGGCCGGCCGCCCAATCGCGGACGTAAACGATACCCGAAAAGAATACCCCGAGAGGTAAAACCGATGTGACGGTATCTAATTGAAAAATGCGATAGTCTGCCCGGGCCCATCAAGTTATAACGAGTCGAACGGTGCGCGATTGAGAAATCACGTTTTAGTGAACAACGCCTACATTATCGCGGCCGCAGACGACCGAGGCCCATTAGCATCTCGTAGGTTTAGTTGCACACCGCATCGCGCGCGTCGACGCATCCTTACGCGAGCGACGTATTAGACGAACAGCCGCCACCCCACGACAAAACGATTCCCCGCAATCTCAGATCTCCAGCTCAAGGGTGAGCCGTCTCGCACGCTTTATCCCCGATTGTCCGCACTTAACGCGCACTTTGCGCCGAGTGCCCCTCTAGAGGAAATTGAAAGCGATCGCTTTCCCCGCTATCTTATCTGCTATGTTATACTAATTAATCGACGCGGCGCGACGTGTCCGCCGTTAGAGGTGAATGGTGCCCGCATTGAGACGGACGCGGTGATTTATCGGATAGACAAAAGTGTCATGGGCGGAGCGGGCCGGGACAATGGCGCGGAATGTCGTCGCGGGCGAGCCGCTCGGCGCTCGTGCGACCCGTGAATGCGGATTATTAATAACTCGGCCGATGTTCGACACGCTCTCCCATCCCACTCTCGGCCCGGAGCGTCCGCTCCACCTGTACAATGTGACCGCGCCTTAATTTATTCACGGCGCGCTTTAATGATGGCATTGGCGCGAGCGCATTCCGCGGGCGTTCGGCGTGACCGCTGCAGACTTTCTTGAAATTCTACACATACACCTGTAAAGCCATGTAAAGGCGGTTATGTGACATCGATTATTGCGTTCGATATTCAAATATTCGTTTTTTGGTTTACCGGATAGAATACATATTTAATATTGCGTTTACTTAGCGTTCGATTTTCAAACTTTCGATGTAAACGACAGAGCGGACGGATCAATATTTTCAAAAATTCGCTAATGATTGAATTAAGCGAGCTCAGCAGAGGGGTGTCCGGGCCCCCTGTCCCGTCAGTGACAATAGAATCGGCGGGGATTATAACGAATTCCCCAAACTACGTATGAGTTCATATTTGTACGCAACAATAAGACAAAATAGTGATAATGCCGCATGTGTGCATTCTGTCGCACTTGCGATTAATTGTGATATTTCATAATGTCGCTATTATTCCCTGTAACATCTGCGCGGTTCGTTTACACAAATATTGGGTGAAATCACGAAGAGATTCTGTATAGAGGAGTGCGTTGTGACAATCAAAATAATTTACGCGGTTAACAAAAGCGTCATTGATTAGTTTTTACCGGAATTCGATTTGGACAAAGTCGTAAAGAAACGGATCCGTAAGAAGCGTGAGACGCTCGAATAAAATCACGGCCGAAGTGTTTCGACTGGATTTAATATTATTGTCGATCGCTTAAGAATAAAAAAAAAAAAACAATGAACGTGAAAAGGGCAAAGTGCTTGTGTTGGCGTGTCAAACAGAAAAATGCAGTATGAAATTACCTTTCACGTTTCGTTGATACCGGTGGGGCTAAATGAGATCGGTTTTTGTCGCTCCGAGAGATAACTAGGTACCTATGTAAGGTGGTCAGCCCTGCGCAGGCACGTCGCACTCCGTAACACCGAAATGAAATCGTCCCACATTTTTGTTGTAGCGGCGAGACATGAGATAACGCGATATTTATGGGGTTGTACACCGACTCAATTGTCCGGCATCGGAAAGTACAAATGTCACGTACGATTATAATATACCTTGTTTCGGATCTGAGGGTCTGTCCACATGTAATTTATGTATGTAAAACGTCCTTACAATATAGGATAATGTTATCCTACAGTAAGGGGGTTATGGTTTCGAAGAGAAGGCTAGATCATTCTAGGGCACAGTTGTCGTTGAGACCTACACAAAATACAAGTACAAATGCGTACGAAACCTTGACGATGATTTCAGGTCATCCAGTGAAGCCAATGAACACTTTCTCTTATTATCAGTGGTGGAATCTTTTTATAATCATGAAATATATTACCATTGGAGTTTGCTAATACTGATTAATTTGCAATATTTTACATTACAATGTTTTTTCTATCTAAAATCCTTCCATCTGTCGCTTGGTGGTTTCACGTTCCATCATCTTTTTTGGGTTCCGTTTACTCGTGTTCACCTCACGACTCGTTTTTTGCGCATCCATCGGCGAACTACGGAGAGTCTTCGTGAGTGGCCGATTCGTCGCCGGCTACATAATTAGTTTTACCGTTACCGTATACTTTACATTTTAAATGGGCTTATTGATAGCTACCACCACAATGAATCGCGTGACAGAGACTTTGTCTATTTTCCCTCCGAGACAAATTCAGTATGACACTTGGTAATTTACCCACTCCTGCTCGTCGGAAATTTGGATCCATAGAAATTAAATCTAAATTCACTCGACTTAAACCGATTTTTTAATAAAAAACACGCTAAAGGCAATTTGATTCCGCGCCTCGATGAGAAATTAGAAATCAGATATAATGGAATGTTTAAATTCGCAAAGGAAACTTACCCTGTTTTCTTCTTATCATGTTTTCTCTTCTTCCTTATCATGTTTTCTTCGTGCAGATAAATACTGGCATAAAAAAGCAAACTTCACAAGTTGTTGAGAACTATTTCTATATAGAACAAGCTGTCGCCTATTAGGGTTTACAGTTTTCGATAGAAATTTCCAAAAAGTTCAAATTTGTATCGTTAACACGTCTGCGTGCTAATTGACTGACATGCCAGGACAAATATGGCGTCGCTTCGTGTGTAACTTATTAAATGAAAACGCGCTTATTTTTAAAATTTAATTATCGGCATTGCGACGACATCGATGGCCAATTGTACGAAATCGAGTAGGTGCCAACTCACTGTAGAAAACAGACTAATTGATTTATAGATGGACAAGAAGACATATTTTAAGTTAGTCCATGACATGCTGCGGTAGAATATAATAGATAATTCAAAGTGATATAATTGATTGGAGTTTACATTAACGACTCGTTTGTTGGAGGAATGACAATAATGAGGCGAGCCAGCCAAATTGATGACCATGGGTACAGGCGGCACCGCGTCAAATATGAAGAATGAGCTTCAACATTCATCCCTACAGACATTTAGAATGCAGTGTATAGAACGGGCACCATACTAGTTATTGTGTTAAGGATCTTACTGTCTCGGTCGATTTGACACGATTTAATGCATTGCCGCAGTGAATATTACGAGTTGATGTTTGCGTTTGACTTTGCGTGATGTTTAAGTAAATGATGAAACCGTTAAAGCCTAGAAAAAATGAATTAGCGAGCGCGTACGAAGACAAATAATATAAGTTAATTCACAAGTCAGCGACGTAAAGACTATCAAATTATGGCCACAACTATTTGAAAATGTACCACTCGTGATGGTTGCGTTAACACTCCGCCGTCCAATGGGATTGCTAGCGGCATCACTCGTCTTCATAAAACGTCTTTTAGAATTAACGCGCGACCACTAATTTGCGTTCTATTTGTTTGGTTCAAGGCTTAAATTGCCCTACACGTCGCGGGGCGCTTGATACCCGCTGTCTAATAAGTGAAATAGCTTTTACCAGGTGTACGACAAATGGAAATCTACTAATTAAAGTACTTTACTGCGGCGAGACTTAAATGGAAGTACGCGGAGTCGTCGTAAGAAGTTTAATTAATCTGCGCGCTGACGCAACGCTGTCGGCCGTTCGGTTCGTTTTCTTTCTATTCGCGGTCGAAAGCAGTTTGTCCAATTGATTCGCCGAGTGGCAACATCCATGTTTGCGCTGAGAATTTGAAGACTTACCGTGTCCTGAGATCAAAGCGACGGATGATTAACGTGTTGCTCGCTGATATCGCCGTTGCGTAAGTGGGCACTAATGGCGGATAACGCGGCTGCGGCGCGTGGGGCGATTGTGATGTGCGTTTTAGCACTTCTCAACAGACGAGGCCGTAAACGCTGCACTGTAGAGAGTGATCTCCGTAACGTGTTATAAAAGAAACGACTGTGTTTGAGCGGTTTACTCAATCTATTATGTTTAGCTAATATTCAGAAATTACTCGGCGAAAGCGTCGCCTGTATTCAACAGCCAACAGCATTCGGAAATGGAAATGGTTATGGTTTAATATGAAAACATGTACAGAAATTTTAAATGAATATGTTGACACAAATCTGGATGAATTGTTATTATCTTACGGCTGCACTAAAATCCAGCTTATCCTGATCTAAATAAACGTGGAATTATGATATGCTATGACGCTTAACTCAGGCCTTATTAGTAACTTACTGGTCTGAATCAATAGTCTCAGAATATACTTAATTTTCCGAAATATTTTACAAGTAAAGCTTGTCTCAAGTTCCGGAAAGTTGATATTGGAATTGTTTTAAAAATGCAAATACCTGTGGCTAAAGACATTTGAAAAACTGAGACTAACTAATCGTATACAATTTTCCTGGCGAAACATAATATATTTCGCTTAATAGCATCTATTAAGTTGGACAATAGAAGAAATCGCCGTTGGGTTGTTATTACCCTAACAGTTGCATTCTGACAAATAAAATTGAACGCATTTATATCATCATAATCAAATTAGAACATAGCACCATTAAATAAGTTCGAAGGAAACAATGAACCTAATGAAAGTAGATTCGAGGTGGAATTATTTACGCCAGTGTAGAGACGTCGCTACGGGTGCGGGCAGGCTTGGAAGAAGATATAGCAGGTAATGACGTCAAGTGAATGGACGACAGTAATTACGAAGAATAGAACCTTTGGTGCATATCGAAGAGAATGCCTTTATTCAGATTGTCGTACGTGACTTAATTCAGTCGACTTCACTCTTTAATATCCGGACCATTTTGATGACATATCGGCACATTAGCCGGTTTGAAGCGGTTACTTCATCATGGAAATCTAATAAATTTTCCAACGAGGAAGCATACTCTAGTTTAAGCCAAGAAATTCACTTTTTACATATACATGCTGCTGTGGTATGCTAGGCCTATTTGCAACAGTGGAATAAGGCAGGATGATATGATTATAATGATGATGTTGCTTTTGAATTTATTTCCAAGTAATTTTTTTAAATATGTATATCCACTCTTGTTCTTTACAACCTAAATATTTTTTTTTTTAGGAATTGAATTTTAATTTACTTTGAAAATTTAATTTGAATTTGAAATTTGAAGGTTAATTCTATTTGTTGAATTTGTTTCAAAATTAAATTTCTAAATATATCCAATGTTGATATTCTTGTTCGTTACAACCTAAAGGCTGTATCTAATGCCCCCGCCATAAAGAATCCACGTTAAACAAAACGCGCCGCGGCACAATGCCGGGCCCTGGAGATCCAGTTTAGTAGTGTCCATTGTAATAAAGAAGACGATATTCCGAAGACATTAAAATTCCCCGTCTCTTAATAATTACGTACGACAGATTTTAACGTTGCGACGCCCACGCGAGCTCTATGTTGTGGCTCTAAACTTGTATAATTTGTGTTAATGCCGTAATATATGGGACTTTAGGGGTCCCTCGAACTCCGAGCTGCGTGCCTTCGGTCG